GTGATCCCACACTCAGTTCTATCCGAGTCATCGGTCAGTTTCCATATTGATCACATCCCACCCCCCCCCCTCATAGAACAGGGACAACTCTCAGTAGCCAATACTGACTTCAGATCCGAACTGTCTACATCGGCAGTGAACACTGACTTCGGATAAGGTGATCCTATTGCTCCGCTCCTCTTTGTAATCATTATGGAAGCCCTGACAACCCACATCCGCCATCACAAAGACATCAAGCGTATCCAAATTACATCAATACCAGAGGACGCCATACCGGTATGTTCCCTCTTTGCTGATGACCTATCTCTCATGGTTGACGCCTCACATGAAGACCTTGAGGCAATAAAACGAATTATGGAAAAATTTTGTAAACTATCAGACATGAGGGTAAATTGGGGAAACAAAACTGTAGGTTGGTGGATTCCCTATCAAGGAGTAAAGCCACCAGAGAGACCAATGATCACATGGCTCCCTATTGATTTCCTAGTGAGGGTTCTTTGGATTTCTCTTTTAGCCCTCGGCAAACTAGCATCCAATAGTAAAGGGATTATGAAACATGCACTCTCAAAACTTGAATTATGGAAAGATAAACATACCTCGTTGCTAGGAAGAACACTAGCAATTAACAATGTGGTCCTCGCCTCTATTTGGTATAAATCTGTTGTCTGGGCGCTTGATAATGTATCCATCAAAATTATGTAGAGGCAATTGGTAGCATTTCTTTGGCGAGATAACCACGAATCCAAAAATATTCTCAGCAGAGTGACATGACAATCAATAATTCAACCTAAATCCATAGGTGGTTTGGGCATCATTGATACCACCACCCAAGCAAAGACTTTTTCAATCCAATGGATAAAGCGCCTTATTTTCAATCCCCAAACACAGTGGAGTATTCTAGCTTGTGAGCAGATCAGACGCCTTGCCCCTCCCACCCTAGATGAGGTTGATCCCCTAATGTGGTTGGAAAATCGCGCCTGGCCGCTCCCAAAGGCGTCCACATCAGAGTCCCCAAACCTAGAGCTATTTGATCGCCAAACAGCTAGAGGTGACTTATCCCAGGATCCCTTTTGGATTGTCCTGCTTAAAACTTGGAGAAAACTACCCATCCCAGACAAAGTAACACCGGAAAGATAGGAAGAAGTTTGTCAACAACCTATTCAACAATACTCTAATTAGAGATTCCCATGGTTGCACCCTAAACTGCACAGACTCTCCTTGGAAAGGTTGGATTAAAAGAAGAGTCACGCACATTAGGGATATCTGGAATAAGGAGACCCAAGATTGGATCGCCCTCCCGAACCTCAATGACAGATTAAGATACTGCCACCACCAAAAGGAAGCATTGGAACAGATAATAGATATTATCCCCTTGGATTGGGTTAGGATCCTGAGAAAAGGAATTACCCTTACTCCAAACGATTTGGTCTCCATACATGATCAGCCAGGAATGGTAGGGAAGATTAGCGATGTGCGCTCCACTAGTGATGTGTCAATGACAATTTATGATTTAGGGGAAGATGGATTCCTCAGATCTACTCCACATCAGAGCACGGGACTAATCCAAAAGAACAGATTATTCAGGATTAAAATCTTAATGATCAAGGATAGGTGGCTGGCTGGCTTTCAAACCAGACAGTGTCACACCCATATCCCATCTTCCACTAGATCCAGTTAGTTGGTCTTGGTCGTCTACGGTATACCAAGGACGTTCCCACACTCAGGTTCTTCACACGTTGTCGGTAAAGTTCACATACAGGATGTTGCGTCCTAGGATAAATATAAAGGACAAAATTGAAGAGCGATGGATGGGACACCTGAATGTACGCAAAGAGGATTTGCAGTCAGTTAAATGGTTTCATTCAATCAAGTCTAAGCCGACAAAAGTGACATCGCTACAATGGCAGGTCACTCACCGATGCTTACCAACCAATGACTAGATCATTGACAGAACGACACTTGAACAAAGAGGAATAGCCCTTCCCTGGTGCAAATTCTGCAGATCTACCTTCCCGTTCAAATTGATCCCGGAAACCATAGAACATATATTTCTACAATGCCCAAGGTCGGTTTGGCTACTATGGGGTTGGTGGGACAAAATTTGGAATCAGATTGAAACCTCCCTACCATGGCCATGAAGTTGGAAGGCTCTCCTCCTAGAAACCTGGACTCCATCATGCGAAGATAGCTTCACAACTAACTTATTCACGATCGGAAGAAGGGTTGTCATATGGGCTATATGATCCCGCAGGTGCACATTTGAAATGGAAGATGCCCGGCTTGACGGGCCTGAGTTCACAGATACCATCAAGCAACAAGTCCAACTAGAGATTAACTCTAGATGGGATTCAGTTAAAGAAAAACTTAAATTGAATTTCTTAAAAATAGAAAAAGATATCAAACAACATATAAAAACATTCAATCAAAACTGGCTTGGAGGGGACCAAGGTGGTAAAATAGGACAGGTTAAATGGAATGGAGTGTGCGATATTGCTCACGATGAGCTCCCAAGTACCACTTACACTTTAATGACTGGAGCAACATTGATCCCTCCATCCCCCTCAGCCCTCTATCTGAATTTCCCAGCCTCAGGCTGTAAGCTTAACCGGCTGATCCTGCCGGGATAACTCCGGGTTGAATTGTGAGGTCCCTGGCCACTCTCGGTTTTACAATTGAATAAAAGAAAAATAAAATAATAATAAGTGCATTCCCGTAGTTGGTTATAACTGCTTTTTTTTTTTCCAAAGGCGATGGCCTTGGGATATGTTCATTGATCGGACCGGCCCTTGGTAATTCAGAATGATTTATTTCATTCATCAAGGTCCAAAGCAGGATTTGAAGATGGGTCTGTATTTCATGGGTGTACCAATTTTGCTGCACCAACCTGGGTACACCTCAGTCCTGGGCATGCCAAAAATTTAGGTGCAAGTCGGCGCTGGGGCCATGTCCCATTAGCAGCGTTGAGCTACCTCAACGCCTGAAATCTGGACGTGTTTGTGGAGACGTGCAGTTCAGGAAACTCAACACCATTTCTGCACATCTCCGCAAAAGCGTCCACATTCAGGCGTTGAGGTAGCTCAACGCTGCTAGTGGGACTTGGCCCCTGGGACTGGGTGTAGCGGCCTACTAGCGGGTATTCCCATCTTTTTTTTTTTTCCCTTTTTTTTTTTTTTTTTTTTTTTTTAAAGGGAAAGCACTCGTTATGTATTCATTCAAAAAGGGAGGCCGGCCACCTCACATAAAGACCGGAGCTGGGAGCATTACCCAGATTCGCTTATATCTGATCAAGTCTTCCGTTAACTTCTAGTAGCCCCAGCCTTCTCCTTTGTTACTCTCCTACCCTCATCACTGCACCCCTTGCCCCTACAACTCTTCGTTAAAATGCCTCTCAACTACCCCACCACCTTAACCCATCTAACCAACCCAGGGCCCCGCCACAACCCAGACCAAACCTACCCTTCCAATCCCCCCCCTTACCTACCCCACTAAGCCCCCCAGGGGTCTACAACGGCCCCCCCGAGGCGTTCCACCTCGGTCCTACCCAACAGCCACTCTCACTCTCAGACTAGCTGAGTGTGCTACCGACCTACCGCGGTCCTACCTCCACCGAGATAGCCAGGTGGGTATTTATTCGGACTCTGTTCAAGGAACTGACTACCTTAAGTTATGACACTGAGGACAGGTGATTTAACTACAGTACCGGATTGGGACACCTACATCTGCAGCCATGGTGCGAGAACCAGTTCCCCTTCTAGAGTAACTGCTGCCAGTTGGTTGCTCCTTGCCCATCTGAACAGGAACCATCTCCTCCCTCGCATTCCCCTCCCCCTGTCCGTCTTGCGGACCCAGTCCGCCAGGATCATTGTCTGGATCACTCTTTTTTTTTTTTTTTTTTTTTTTTTTTTTTATTTTTTTTTTTTTTTTAAAAGGGCGAAGGCCTTGAGATATTGTCATTCAGCTGACCGGCCCCATTAGTAGTTGGTTTTACTTGTCAAATTCCATCGTCTGGATTCGAACACAGCACCTGGTCTGTATTTCAACAGTTCATGGGTGTACCCACTGAGCTAGGCTCTTGGGTACGTTTTTTTTTTTCTTCAAAGTTTGGTACAGATGCAATTCTCCGTTCTTTCCCCCCAAAAATTAAAAATAATAAAACAATAATAAAAATTCTCCGTTCTCAAAAACAGAAAGTGACAGAAATGTTGCCCCGCGCTCGTCAGCGCATCTTGGCGGGAAACCAACCGCAGACCTTGCTTTCCCCCGAATACGACGTCTGGTCATTATAGCTGTATTTCAGCATCTTTCAGTCTAGATACAGCTAGATACAGCTATAATGACCGTACGTTGTATTCGGAGGAAGAAGGTAGCTAGCTTCCGATGCGGTTCGAACCTCGGCGTTTTCAGAAGAAACTCGGGGGCTACGGATAGGTCCCACTTGCACGAATTTTTAAGAGATACTGACCGTAGATAGCAAAGATCAACGGCCGAATCTCCTAATTTGCGCAAGCGGGTCCTTGCCCTATGCCCCGGGTTTGCAGCAGATAGCCACAGTGACTCTCGGAGACACCCATCATGATCGGGGATGACCCTAGTTTTTTGGCTAGACACACAGAGCGAGTCCCAATGCCCAAAAAACTAGAGTCATCCCCGATCATGATGGGTGTCTCCGAGAGTCACTGTGGCTATCTGCTGCAAACCCGGGGCATCGGGCAAGGACCCGCTTGCGCAAATTAGGAGATTCGGCCGTTGATCTTTGCTATCTACGGTCAGTATATCTCTTAAAAATTCGTGCAAGTGGGACCTACCCGTAGCCCCCGAGTTTCTTCTGATCTGAAAACGCCGAGGTTCGAACCGCAAGGTCCATCGTGTGCGAAGCTCCCCTTTTGTGATAAATAGGGGATGCGGGTCCACTGCAGGACATTCCCTCTCAGCTCACACGGCGTCTCGACTCTTGAGACCGCGCACGACCTCTACCGCTGTTCGGGATCGGAATACGGAATACGTTCCAGTCATCACCGTCATCGAACGCTTCCACTTCCATTGCTCGCGAGATTCTGGGCATCGGGTCGCGAAGATGGCGCTGCTGCGGGCATGTCTCTGCTTACTTGTGGTTTGCCTCGCGGTGGTGCAAGGAGTCTCTGCCACCTGGCCTCTTGTCCAATCTGGTGACAATGGACCCAATGTTATGGCGGTGCAGGACCTGTTGCAGGTTGGTATTCCCCACCACGCACACCCACAGCCAATCCTCAGCAACGTAGGCATACTCACAGCTGCGGTGGATATGCATCCATGATGCGCCACCCCCCGGATTAGCCGTCACGGTCTTGACTTGCGATTTCCACTCTTGTTCCTTGCCGACGCGATTCATGTATCACAATCACTCTGTACCTCCGTGCGTGCAAGCGTGCAAGCGTCTGTGTATGTCACTCTGTGTGTGTGTGTGTGTTTCTGTGTTTCTGTGTTTCTGTGTCTCATGTGTGTGTGTGTGCGTGTGTGTGTGTGTGTGTGTGTGTGTGTGTGTGTGT